GTACACGAAGTACATTCTAGTTGATCATCCTGTCTCAGGAATGCAGCACGGTGCAGCAGCAAGACTAGGCTGATGTCCTGCGAGCTGCAGGGGTGATTGTCCTCGGGGAGCATCTGGCTCCCCTTCAGGGGAGGAGAGGGAGAACATGCATTCATTTTGCTTCACCTCCTCATTGCAGGTTGGACCAGGAACTGCCTCCTGGACTGGGGCTTCTTTATCCGCCTGGCAGTGCCCGGCATGCTCATGATGTGTATTGAATGGTGGACCTTTGAGATTGGGAGCTTCTTGGCAGGTGAGTCCAAATCCTCTTTTTTTTCCTCTGGTTCAACAGGTCCATGCCTGCTCTGGTGGCTGCCTCTTGAGCGTGTCCCCCAGAGCACCTCTTGCCAGCAGGATTGGTTCTGCAGGATGCTGTGTCTGTGGGATGGGAGCCCTCCTTGTCGGCAAAGGAGGAGTTTAATTCTGACCTAACGAAGAAAGTGATGACTCTCTTTCAGGGCTGCTCAATGTGGTGGAGCTGGGCGCGCAGTCTGTCATCTACGAGCTCTCCTCTGCAGCGTACATGGTAAGGGCTGTGTATTAAATCAGTGTCGGGTGGGGAGGAGACCCCAGATAACGGCTCTGCAGATCAGGGCTGGGGAGGGAAGCAGGAGCTGAGCTGCAGATGGAAAATCCCTTTACTGCAGCAATGCCGAATTGCCCCAAATTCCCTGCTGGGGAAGAAGAAAATTGCTGCAGGCTCAGTTGCCACTCACCTCCTCGTTGTCTCCTGCTCCTCAGGTGCCTCTGGGCTTCAGCGTGGCTGCGAGTGTCAGAGTGGGCAATGCCTTGGGATCGGGGGATGTGTTGCAAGCCAAGACCTCCTGCATCACTGCCCTGCTGTGCGCAGGTCAGCCCAGGTCCCGCAGAGGGGAATAAAGGTGCAGGACTTGCTGCCCTTAAGTAATTTGACTATTTCTTTTTCTTTCAGGAGTTTTTGCTGTGGTGGTTGCAACATTACTGGGAGCCCTAAAGGATGTGGTGGGATACATTTTCACCAGTGACAAGTGAGTTAACAGCTTTCTTTTGAGTATTATTACCTTCCTGGAGGGTGTGATTTATATCCCAGGAGCTGCTCAGAAGCTGCTGCCAGATGGAATTCATAAACCTCCATCTGACAAGCACATTCCCCAAAGGTTCCTTCCCCCTGCCTGGTGTCACGGGGCAGCACAGATGCTGCTGACACAGGGTCCGTACCGTGGTGGTACCCAAGCTCTATGTGTCCCCTCGAGTCTCATGGGCTGGGGTCAGGCTTTGCAGCTGGTTGAGGGAGACATGTCAGGACCAGAGTCTGCTGGGACCAGGCCGGGCTGCTTTCCCTGATCAGTATGTACATCTTCCCAACAGGGAGATCGTTATCTTGGTGTCCAAAGTGATGATCATCTTTGCTCCGTTCCACTTGTTTGATGCAGCAGCAGTGAGTATTCCAGCATGTGGAGCGATCCCCCTCTGCAGGTTGGGGTGCAATGGAGAGTGCAAAGCTGCCATGAGCTCCCTCTTGGCCTGTTAAAATGGTACAGAGAAGCAAACTGATAAGCTACCAGAGCAGCTGCTTGCATTACCTATAGCACCTCAGTGTCCCTGTGCTCATAGTTGTCCACTGGTGTTGCTGCAGACATCCCCATTCTTTCTCCCTCTTTCCCCTGGCAAGGCTTCATCTTTTTCCTAGCTCCTCAGGGCAGCACAAGTGAGCAGCTGAACTTCAGAGGTGTCAGGTACTCCCAGCACAGCAGCAGTGCTCCTACAATCATTAGATACTCACTTCAGCCTCTTTCCTCCTGCCGCGTCCTTGGGAGAGGGACGCAGGCAGTGTGGAAAGCACTGTGGGGTCTGCTGGCGTGTCTCTGGGTGTCTGCAGAGAGCTCCACGTTCTGCGCCTGGGTCGGGACCTGGGGCGAGAGGAGCCCTGCGCCACGCGCTCTGCGGTGTGGCTCCGGTCCCTCCTGGCTGTGCGGGGCAGTGCTGTGTGTTCCCCTGTTCGCAGGGCCACGCCGTAGCCCGCAGCTCCTGTGCTGGTGCCATCCGTAGCACGTGCTGTCCTGTGTACTGATGCCTCTGCCCGCTCTCCTCAGGCGACCTGTGGCGGCGTGCTGCGGGGCACGGGGAAGCAGAAGCTGGGTGCCATCGCCAACGCCATCGGCTACTACGCCATCGGGCTGCCCATCGGCATCTCGCTGATGTTTGCGGCTAAGATGGGGGTGTTAGGTACGTGTGCCCTCCCTCTGGCTTTGTCCGAGCTGCCAGCGCTGCTTCTGCTGGGCCAAACCCTGCCCTGAGCAAAGGCTCAGCCCTGGAACTTGTGCTCAGACCTTTGTGTCCGTGGGGCTGGGTTGCACGCTGAAGTGTTTAGCTGAGGCAGGCTCTGAGGAGCCCCCATCAAATGGGGGCTGAGACGTCCCAGTAAATCCAGGCTTGCTCCCAGCAGAGGGCCTGTTTCCTCTCCCTGCCCCTCAGGGCAGCTCTGCCAGCCAGGCTGGGTTAGACACGGGGCAATAATCTGACCCCACTGGAGTCCTGGGGCATTTTGGCAGCGGCTGGCAAAAGCAGGTTTTCCTCAAGCTCCCCCTGAAGTAACTCTCCACTGCTGCAGGTCTGTGGGTGGGGATGATCGTTTGCATCTCCTTGCAAGCCCTTTCCTTCTTGGCTTTTGTCATGCGCATGGATTGGAAGAAAGCTTCGGAAGAGGTGAGACTTGTGCTTCTCTCCAGTAACTCTTCAAAGGTGTTAGGTGGGTTCCTGTCCCAGTACAGTGCCACAGCCCTCCGGGAGGAGGCAAAAGTGAAAGAGGATCTGCCCCTCTCTTGTAGGGATGAGCAGTTTGGTGGGGAGCATGCTTGCTTTGGGAGAGCAGATGGAAGAGGCTCAAGTTTGCTTGGCTGGGCAGGACACCCTTGCTCTGAGAAGAGCAACTCTTCTGTGTGTTTTCAGGCTCAGATCCGAGCTGGACTGAAAAAACAACTGGAAGATGTGAACTCCAGTGGCACAGCTGCTAACAAAACATCTGCTGTGGGTATGTAACTGGGCCTGAATTCTCCACCCAGCCCTTCCTTTCCTTCAGAGTCATGGCAGCCGTGTCTGTGCTGCAGGCCCAGGCGGCTGGAAAGAGCCCAGTGACTGGTGCTGGGCCCGGGCACTTCTCCTGCCCTTAGTAATGGGGTACGAGGCGCCTTGTCCTTACCCCCGTCACCACTCTGGCTGCCCCAGGGAAGAGCCTGGAGTCCCAGCAAGTGTCTGCCTTACTGGGACCACCCACCCCTTTGCTGTGGCATGTCCCCGTGTCCCTGAGCCTCGGGAAAGGACCCTCAGCACTGTCACTGGCGCTTGTGCAGCATCACACTGGCCTGCCCTGACTTTGCAGCTCGGCTTCCCTGCAGCACTCCCCTCTCTGTTACGCAGATTGCGTCTCTGTGGGCACAGACACCGTGGACACCATGGTCCTGCCTGAGAGCATCGTGGAAGGCGAGAGGCACCCTGACCACGAGCTCATTGCCCAGGAGGAGCCTGCTGTCGCCCCTGCTCCTCCCGATGTGGTATGGAGGGCCCTGATCATCCGCCGGGTGCTGGCTGCTGCTGCTGCTATCGCTGTCCTGCTGGTGGGCATACTGGTCCGGATCCTGACCGGCAAGGGCTAGAACCAGTGACACTGGGGTGCTGTGCACAGAGCAGGAGGGCACGCGGTAGCGTCCCAGGAGGATGGTGCTGCAGAAGGAATTCCTCCAGTTCCCTGTAGAGTCACTTTGCTCCGTTTCTGGTTCACTCACAGTTATTTTATCCCACACCCAAGAGTTCTTAAAGGGGAAGAAAGTGCTTGAGAGCTGGTCCCTCTCCTGCACTGCACCAGGATGTCACTTATACACAGGCAGGGTGACCTGGGAAAGAGATGGGGACCTTGTGCTGCTGTCCTGCTCCCTACTCCCTGGGGGCATCTGTCCATGTCACTTGTTAGTGGCCGAGGCTCTTGCTGCCCACAGCATCTTTCCTCACGCACCAGTCTGCAACTGGGCCCGTTTTGCTGGGAGATGGCTCACGACTCCTCTGACTGCTGCCGGGGCGTTGGGCGCTGGCTGCTCTCCCTGCTCTCCCCGCTGCGTGTCAGGCACAGGGCCTAAAGCAACTCTTTTTTTTGCACTTTTGTAAGGTGGGATTTTGATACAATAAAGTTTTCTGAGTAAATGTTGGGCTGTTAATGTGGTGTGAGCATGACCCCGGTCATTGGCACGACTAACCTGGTGGAGGAGAGATGTGTGCCTGTTTGTGCAGAGCCTCAGCCTCCTGGCCCTGCAGTCTGGGGCTGGCTTGGGGTGCAGCACTGGCCAGGGGCTTGTTTAAGCCAGGCTCAGGTACAAAAGCAGAATTTGGGCTCCCACACTGTTCCTGAGGCACATGGGGCAGGGTTGATGTGGTGCACAGCTCTCCAGAGCTGCCACGGAACTGCTCGTATGTCTTAACACAACAGCCCCAGCCCTGCCTGCCCCTGCCCTCAGGACCCATCCCAGGCTCTTACCTGTAGCCCTGTGACAGCAGCGAGGCCTCTGGTGGGGCATGTGCTCGGCCATTGAGGCAAATACCACGTACAGCTGGTGCACAGCCCCTCTCTGTCACCCCACAACTCTCCTGGCACATGGTGCTGGTTGCTGGTGGGCTGGGAGTGAAAAGACGTGACATAAAGGAGCTTGAAAAGTCGTCAACCCCGACCTCAGCAGCCTCTGCCCAGATGTGAGGAGGATGTGGCAGACTGCTCACAACCCTGGTAGTTTTGGGATGGGAGCCTGGAGAGAGGAGGAAACCTGCCTTGTTCTACCCCATGGGCTACCCCAGCCCACCAGAGGCCACCTCCTGCTCTGTGCAGGAGAGGGTCTGCACCGGGGGAGCAGCTCCCCTCCGCTCCCCCGCGCCCTGGCGGGCCAGGGCAGATGCTATATTTGTCCCCCGGAGCGGTGCCAGTGAAACCTGATGCTGCCGCGCTGTGCGAGGCCGATGGCCGAGCCAATGGGGCCGGCTTGTCTTGGCCACCACCTCGCTGGGATGAGAGGGGCCGAGACGAGCAGCGGCCCCGCCACTGCCAGCAGCAGCTCACAGGAGCCCGCAGACGGACCCATGAATCTTCTGCTGCGGCTGGAGGAGGAGGACAACCCTCCAGCACAGCGGGCCGAGGAGCCAAGGCGAGGCAGGAGAGAGGTAGGAGGCTTGGCGGGAGCGATTTGGGAAGGCTTAACCCCCACGCTGGCTCAGGGCAGGCAGCAAGCGCCTTGCACTACCCAGCCAGGCTCCTCGGCGCTGCGGAGGGTGCACAGGACCCTCACGGGGCTCCCCAGCTCCGTGCCCTGCCCCGACCCACTTGCCTGCACTTCCCATCGCCGACCCAGCTGCCGGCAGCACGCGGTCGTCTCGCCCAGCCCCGGCTGAAGTTCACCCCACCGTGGTTACACATTGCTCACCCTGGCAGGGTGGTTTTAACAGAGCGGGGAGGAAGAGGGTTGTTTCACTCCCCTGGCAGAGCGGCAGCATGAAGCAGGAGAACCTCCCCGAGGAGAACGGCTTCAGCGAGGCGGTGGCCGCTGGCCAGCACGATCTCACACCCGGCAGCTGCGGGAAGAAACGCCGCTTGCTTCAGCGCCTGGTCCCGGACAACTTCTGGGAGGACGCAAAGAAGCTGCTGACACTGGCAGGGCCGCTGGTAAGGACCCCGGGAGGAGAGAGCCCCTCCCAGCACAGCCTCCTTTGCTCACCTCCATCTCTCACCTTTGCTTATTCCCCACACGTAGATCCTGATCCAGCTGCTGATCTTCCTCATACACCTTGTCAGCTCCATATTCTGCGGCCACCTGGGCAAGGTCGAGCTGGCCTCCGTCACGCTGGCCATTGCTGTAAGCATTCCTGGGGGCTGCTCCGGCACCGGGCACCAGCTCCCGCCCGCTGACACTGGGACGGGATACGGGAACGGAGACAGACAAGGACAGAGAAGATTTCAGACTCCCCCTTTTCCTTTTAGCCTCTCTCCCTACCCAAAAGTCTTAAATGCTCACATTCGATCTTTGGTTTTTATTTAACTCCTGTCTCCAGGTTATAAACGTTACTGCCATCTCTGTAGGTTATGGTTTGTCTTCGGCGTGTGACACCTTGATATCACAGGTGGGTAAGAGACGCTGGCACTTGTCCTGGAGACACGGGGTTTTCCAGCTTCGGCTGGTGCTGCCCAGGCACTGCGAGCTGGGGAAGCTTGTCCCTAAGTGGCAATCCCAAAGGAGGAAGCTCTGTGCCCCTCCTTGAAATACCAAATCCTCCCCGGGTGGTCTCCAGGGAGGTCAGCGCTGCTCCGTGCTCCGCGGGGTCCCTGTCCCCCCCAGCAGAGCTCATTGCCGCCCTCTCGCCTTGCAGACCTACGGCAGCAAGAACCTGCTGCGCGTGGGGGTGATCCTGCAGCGTGCCACACTCATCCTCCTGCTCTGCTGCTTCCCCTGCTGCGCCATCCTCATCAACATCGAGCAGCTCCTGGTCCTCATCCGCCAGGACCCCGAGGTCTCCAGGTCAGGTGGTCCCGGACACCCCCACTTTGTCCCTCCCGGCACGGTGGGGCTGTGAGGAGGGTGGCTGTGGCCGTGGCCCCTCGCTAAACCCCCGCTCTCGTGTCCCCCAGGTTAACCCAGCGTTACGTGATGGCGTTTGTCCCTGCCCTCCCGGTGAGTCCCTGTGGGCACCCTGGATGCCACACACAGGCACTGGCCATCCCGCTCCTGTTTCCCACCGCAGCAGCGCAGCCTCTGCTCGGCACTGGCCTCATCTCACCCAATTTCCTTTCCAGGCGGTTTTTCTGTACAACTTGGAGACAAGATACCTGCAGAACCAGGTGGGTGCTGCAGCCCTCGCACCCACGGAGGGTCAGCCCCGGCTCAGGGCTCCCTCCCTTCAATGATGCACCCAGGGTTTTCACCCTCACCCTTCCCGATGGTGGGGCAGCGTTTGGTACCCTGAGCAGCTCTGATCCGGAGATCACCCCCATCCCACAGCCAGTTGTATCCATCTGCCTGATGGATGTCACAGAATCACAGAACCATTCAGGTTGGAAAAGACCCTTGGGAGTATCGAGTCCAACCATCAGCCAGACTCTACAAAGTTCTCCCCTACACCACATCCCCCAGCATCTCATCCAAACGACCCTTAATGTCCCTTCATACTTCCCCACTTCACGGGTTTACCTCCAACACACTCGTTTTCCAAGCAGGTGACATCATCAGTCTATTTTTTGGCTGGGAAAGCTCCCGAGCACGGGGTCGGTGGAGACCCTCACACCTCTCCCCCAAAGCCTTTGTGAAGGCGCTGTAGCCCCCGTCTCCTCCTCTTTGCAGATGATCATGTGGCCGCTGGTGCTGAGCGGGGTCGTCGGCAACGTCGTCAACGTGATCGCAAACTGCATCTTCCTCTACGTGCTCCACTTGGGCATCACGTGAGTAGCACCCACGTCCCACCAAGGAAAAAAACCACAATGCCTGGCAACAGCCAGGGGCTTTTCAGGGACATCAGCATCTCCAGGCACGGCCGAGCCTCTGGCGGGGGCACGGCGGGACGTTACGCTCTGGCACCCCGAGGCCGGGGAGGCCTGAGCAGGGTGCTGATGACCTTTCTCATTTCCTTTTCAGGGGCTCTGCCTGGGCTAACACCGTTGCTCAGTATTCACAAGCCATTTTCTTGTTCCTGTATATTATAGGCAAGAAACTCCACGTGAAGACCTGGGGAGGTAAGGGCACATCCTCAGCTCCCTCTGGTTCCCGCTTTACATGAGGGTTCATGAATTTTCCACAGTTTCTATCAAGTGAATTCTGTTAGTCCTGAAGGTGAAATATTAACTGCAACCGGGTACGCTCCCGGGAATGCGGTGCTGCTTGGGTGGCAGCACGTCATGCGCGAGCGTTGGCAGAGCATCGTGCCGGGCAGTAAACATTAATTCTGGAAAAAATGAAACTTTCTGCTGAGGCTTGGTAGGGTTTAGCCCCGAAGCTGGATAAGCACAGACGTAAGCATGAGGTTGTCCTCCAGGAGGGATGAGCTGAGGGCTGCGCTGCTCCGTGGCCCGTAGGATGGCATCAGCAGAGTGCGTACGTGCGCACTTTGCTGCTGGAGGTCCCGTGGAGCTTAAGACCATCGCGCTGGTGGCTCTGCCAACAGGAACGGCACCTCCAGCTGCCTCGGGTGCTCTTGAGGACATAACACGGTGGCCAGCCTGGTCATTCATCAGGTGGTGTTTCTCCTCTCCGCAGGCTGGTCCAGCGAGTGCCTGCTGGAGTGGGACAGTTTCACCTCCCTGGCCATCCCCAGCATGCTCATGATGTGCATCGAGTGGTGGACCTACGAAATTGGGAGCTTCTTGATAGGTCAGTGGAGAGGGGGCGCTGCGAGGAAGTGGCAGGGAGTGACCCAGAGCGGTGTCTGCAGCAGTCACCGAGAGGCACCCTCACCCAGCACTGACCCCCTCCTCCCCCCCAGGCCTGCTGAGCGTCATAGAGCTCTCTGCCCAGTCCATCATCTACGAGGTGTCCGTTGTCGCTTTCATGGTAAGGGCTGGGGGTTATCATCTCCGACCAGGGCTCCCTAGGGACAGTCCCAGCACAGACACCCAGCAAAAATCAGCTCCAGCAAATCTCAGTCTTCCCTCTCTGCACTTACCTCTCTCCCTGCTCCTGCCTGTCCCTCCTATTGAGATGTTTTAAACTAAATTTAAATCATACCTATCAGAGAGGGACCTTGGGGTGTTGATTGACAGCTGGGTGAACATGAGCCAGCAGTGTGCCCAGGGGGCCAAGGAGGCCGATGGCATCCTGGCTTGTGTCAGCACTGGCGTGGCCAGCAGGGACAGGGAAGGGATCTGAGCCCTGGGCTCGGCACTGGTGAGGCCGCCCCTCGCTGAGGGGGTTCAGTTCTGGGCCCCTCACCCCAAAAAGGCCATTGAAGGGCTCGAGCGTGGCCAGAGAAGGGCAACGGAGCTGGGGCAGGGTCTGGAGCACAGGTCTGCTGGGGAGCAGCTGGGGGAACTGGGGGGGTTCAGTCTGGAGAAGAGGAGGCTGAGGGGAGACCTCCTGGCCCTCTGCAACTCCCTGCCAGGAGGGGGCAGAGAGGGGGGATGAGTCTCTGGAGCCAAGGCCCCAGCGCCAGGCCCCGAGGGAATGGCCTCAAGCTGCCCAGGGCAGGGTCAGGCTGGCTCTGAGGAAGGATTTCTGTGCAGAAGGGGCTGTTGGGCGTTGGAATGGGCTGCCCAGGGCAGGGGGGCAGTCCCCATCCCTGGGGGGGTTGAAGAGTCGGGCTGAGCCAGCGCCGAGGGATCTGGGGGAGTTGGGAAGGGTCAGGGTGAGGGTCATGGCTGGGCTGGAGGAGCTGCAAGGGCTTTTCCAACCGGGATGATTCTTGGATTCTGTGGCCAAGGACTTCCCCAGACCTGGGACTGTGGTCGCAGCAACGCCCCGTTCACCCCTAACGCAGGGCACCATCAGTGCCGCGGTGCCCGGGGCTCCTTGAGTCCTTGGGGCAGAGTGTGGCCACAGCTCAGGTAGCCCTTACTCACCTTGGGTGGCTAAAGGCGATTCCCCTGCAGCAAAGCATCACCTGTTCAGTCATGAGGCCTTTCAAGGATGGGATGTTGCAGGGTCTTAGAGGCTCTTCCCCTCTGCAGGGGACAACCAGACGGGACTGTCCCCAGCAGTAAGAGCCACATTCTGTCAGGGGCTCATAGCTGGTGTGAGAGCTTTCCGTGGCGATCAGGTGTTACGTAGATAACGGGCTCAGTGAAAACTATCTTTGTTTGATACCCTTGTGACAAACTATTCTCCCGTTCCCAAGAGCTTTTAGAGGGGCAAAGCAGGGCACATGCTGCCTCCTTCCATCTCCACCACTCCCTGCTGAGGCATGACCAAGGGCATAGGTCTGAATCAATTCCTGTTTCAGCAGGAGCTGGGGCCTTCTCTGCTTTAGGTGTGTTTCATTTGCTTCTACCTCTTCAGTGCATTGGCTGCCTTGGAAGGAAAGAAATTGCAGCAAATGTTCTGCACTAGGAGTGCAGGGAGCAAGCGGCTCAGTGTGGGGCCATCAAGGGCTGCTCAGACCTGGGAACACTCCACATGGGGCCACCACCATGAGATGTCCCACCCAGGGCAAGGCTGGGAGACGTTCTCTTCCTGAGGTGACCTCCCGCTCCTGCGGTGACGGCTCAGGGCTCACACCCTCCAGTGCCTCGACCCACCTGCGCCGGGCCCAGCGGCCGCGGGCACCTCTCAGGGCAACCCAGCATCTCTGGGGAGGGCAGAGCTGCTGCTCTGTGGGTGATTTCTCCCAGCTCACAGATACCCCTAAACCCACCAGCCACCCCGCCCTCTGCTCACAGGGATGCTCCCTAGGAGCTGAAACCTGGAGACGACCAAGAAAGCAGATGACTCATAAAAAATGAAGGGAAAAAATAAAATTACCTTCAGAGAAGCTTCTCTCTCCTCCAGTCTCCCACAGCGAGTGCAAGCAGCGCAAGCCCTTCCCCTGACATGGCTCAAAGTGATCTCTCCTCCCATGAGAGGAGTGCTGGCCAGGGCCCAGGGCTCTCCTTAGATACAAGGCGCCCTTTGCCCAGATTTATCCTCGCCTTGACTACACAAGCCCTGGGTCGCCACGTTGAGCAGGGGCAGTGACTCAGCCGCCCGCGCTGGGTCGTGAGAGACCACGTGGCTCTGCCCATGCCGGGCTCTGCACGAGGCCGGGGCAGCACTTTGAGGCGCTGCAGCACCCGTGGGGTGACAACGGTCTGCACCTGAACAAACCCCGGGGGGAAATCAGGGGATGGATTTGCACAGGGCAAGACAGGAGAAACAGTTCAGCTCCTCTGCAGCTCCTCGCCCCAAGCCCTGCCAGAGCTCTGGGGATCCTTCCCCACGAGCGGGGAGCCCATCGCGCCGGGGCCTGTGCTCCGGGGCAGAGGCACCTCAGCACACACCTGCGACATTCGGCCAAAGCACGGCCAGAGCTGGCAGAGGACGCGCAGGATTCCCCAGGAGACTGCAGGGACTTACCACGCTTGGTTTATTATTTAAATTCTCAGTATTTAATTTAGTACTTGGAAAATATATCATTAAAAAGGCTTAGCACATGGATTTTTCACCAGACGTGAAGAAATCCCACCTATTGCACAGTAAGTATAATTTTCTGTTCTATATTAATTGCATTGAATAATCATTTTTAAATTTTCCTTATTGATTCGTTAATATTTCTAAGGTCCTTTCACCATGTATTTCCCCAACATCCTCTCCCCAAGCTACAACAAGCCCCATATGATCTCCCAGTGCAAGATTACAGCAGACCCAGAAGCTCAAACAGAGTACACACTCTTTCAGTAATTGTTTTCCCTTGGAGGAATCTGACCAGGAATGGGTTTGTACTGGTTTTGGCTGGGATGGAGTTAATTTTCATCAGAGTTGCTCAGTTTTTTCACAGTAGGATGGTGCTGCGTTTCGGATCTGTGACCCAAGCAGTGTCTGTCCCACACCCGGGGCTCAGCTGTCGCCGGACAGCGCTCGCACAGCGTCAAGGTCTCTGAGATTCTCACCCCCCCGCAGCCCCTCGGCTGGGGGCAGCAGGAGGCGGGGAGGGGGCACAGGCGGGAGAGCTGACCCCAGCTGAGCAGGGGGACGTTCCAGACCACGTGACGTTGTGCTCAGGGGGGAAAGAAGAGGAAGGCAGGGGAGGACGTGGGGAGTGACGGCGTCCACCTGCCCAAGTCACCGTTACGTGTGACGAAGTCGGGTTTTCCTGGGGATGGCTGAACACCTGCCTGCCGAGGGAAGTGGTGAGTGGGTTCCTTCATTTGCTTGCTTGCACGCCCAGCTGTCACTTCACCCATTATTAGCTCAACCTACAGGTTTTCTCACTTTTACCCTTCCAATTCTCTTCCCTGTCCCGCTTTGTGGGGCTCAGATGCCCGCCTGGGCTGACCCACAACAGGGTACTTTGGAATTCCCACTTCTCTAAGCAGGCCTGGAAGTTCTGCAGGAGCAACAAGACGCTCTTATCAGCAAAATACAGGCACTGCAGGCATCACCTTTGTCATTTTCTAACAGCTAAATAATTGTTACAGGCAGATGATGAAACTCAGAGCCCCAAAAAGGGGCTGCATGTCAGCCTGCATCCCCTGACCAGCTGCAGACAACTCTGGTTCACAGAGATCCGTAATATTTCACCTCAATTAAGCAGCACGGAGAACCTCACTGGGTTTACTCATAACCATCACTACTGGTAAAACGCATCAGCCAGCACAGCCCGTCTCCGAGGTGTCACCAAGAGGGTGGTTTTGGGAGCACGACAGAAGACAGACTGTCCCAAAACCTGCAGGGAAAACACCATCACAGCTGAAGCTCCAGCTCCTGGTTGTCACTGAAGGAAGGTTTGGTGCAAGACACTGTATGTGTGGCTCGGTGTGGGGCGGAGGGACGGACTGGGGTTTCTTGCTCTGCAATTCTCCTCCTGTGAGAGCTAGTACCCACTGGTCCCTCTACTTCAGCACAGCTTTTTAGTAAACAGGAGTCTGGGCCTTCTCTTGGTTAGTGTTTCTCTAAGGCTACTCTGTGTGCTTGACAGCTCACTGAAATAACCCAGAACAGCAGAAAAAAAAAAGGACTTCTCAGCTTAAGGAAACAGACACAAAGCCAGCACTCAGAGTATGACTTGCACAGGACGCCTTCTCCTCTCTTCAGCAGCAAGCCACCTGTGAAAGCAAAACACAACACCAACGTCCTGTGAAGGATCAGCTGAGACAAACGCAGCTCCCTTTCCAGAAGAGCCTCAAGCAAAGCCCCTTGGCTCAGGGTGACTTCCCCAGGGTCCGGCTCGCCTGCCTCCTGCGCCCTTGGCATGCACCGACCGCTGCTCACCTCGGCCCTGCGCGACCTGCGGGCGCTGCCGGGGAAAGCATCGCTCTCCAGATCCAGGGGGGAACCTTCTACAAGCCCCATGCTCCTTACTCTAATCAGGTTTTGCCCGATCTCAAACCAGGTCTACACACAGGAGAAGAAAAAGGCTCCTACCTCACCGTGACAGCCACAGCAGTGCTCTGAAACCTGCTCCTCCTTACCACACACTGGGCCAGCCCAGGCTCTGAACAGCCAGCACAATCATGAGGGCTTTTCTCTTCAGCACAGACTGGTGATTCTGAGAAAACCCAAATGATTTCAAGACGCCATGAGTTTCCCCCCTTTGCTGAGAAGGCATTCACCTAGGCAGGGCCTGCTTCCCTGTTTCAAGGCCTGAGCCACTGGGTGGCTCTTCCTCCTGGGCTCCGACACACAGGTGGGTTATTTCCCCCAGACTGTCGGGCTCCTGCGCATCTCCCTGCACCGCTAACAGCACAGACTGAAGGGCAGAGCCCTGATCCACCTGCCGTCTCCTGTGCCCTCAGCAGCTGCTCCCTGAAGCTCACTGAACACCCGGGATGCACCGCTGAGCCTTGCAAGGGGCAGGCAGGCTGGGCACACGCAGCCCCCGGTCCACCAGTGATGGAGAACCACCAGCAATCACACCTGGAGTTTTAGATCTTACCCCTCCACCTCAGGGGGCGTCTGGAGTCCTCCAGCCAGCACAGGCAGGCTGCTGCCTCCCGCAGAGAGGGGAGGACACCCCACCCTTCCGCACCACCCAGCCAGAAACGGGAGGAAACGGAAAGAATCGAGCTGAGGTTAGACAGGGGCTGCGACTGGGCAAGGAACACGAGCTCATCGTAGCCCCAGGCCCTGGGACAGAGCCTTCCCTCCCCAGGCCACCACGGCACAGAACCTCAGCCCTCTGTGCTAGGCTACAGAGCAGCTCACAAGGCTGCTGAAGAAAGCACTGGAATGGAATCCACTCCTAACCTGTCCAAAACATACCAGCCTCTGCCTCTGGAGGGAGTTTCTCACGGGTGTCGCCTACCACGGCAGAGTCACAACCAGTACAGCAGCCTAGGAGATATCCCTGAGGGCATTTCTATTCTAGATATTGCTTGAAAGAGTGAGAAGATCCTGATCATTTCAGGGGGGGCAGACATCATAAGTCTCTTGACAGAAAAAGCAGGGCAGGCGCTAAGAAAGGGCTGTGGTGGCAAAGAGTGGCCTTAGGGAAGGTCAGACGAATTGCACGTGCACTCACACGGACAGCAGAGACCCAGAGCTCACCTTGATCACCACCGCTACCACGATCCCCAGCAGGGCCAAGGCGATCAGTCCAATTCGAGTCTTGTTAAACCGCTTCAAGAGGAAGAACTTGGCCCAATCCACCTTCTTCTGGCTGCCAGGTGGGTACCGGAGTTTGTTCGTACCCTCCATCTTCAGGTCCTTGATCAGGCAGGCGCGGCGGTGGGAGAAGGTTTCAAAGCTGTGCTTGCCGTGGTAGGCGCCCATCCCACTGTTACCTGAGGGACACAGCACAGGCAGGTCACACCACGGGCTCAGCCAGTCCAACCTTTCGCCACTTGAGGCCACCAACAAGGCAAGAAGCAGCACAGAAAAACTTGCCAGCTGCACTGCATGTTACCTGCCCTGCATCCACCCCGCTGCAGTTTTAAAGCACAACTTCTCCTCTGTATTCCTGCAGAGAGGACAACTGATCCGTCCTCTCCGCAGCACTTTTCAGACTCCAAGACGACCAGCTGGACTCCATTCTCCTCCTCCCCACCTCGTTTTGACTACACACTCTCCAGTATTTTGCTGTGTTTCTCCGTGCACTGTTCGCTGCAGCTCTCCCCTGGCTCTGGCCACCTCTCAGAGCACCGTGCCAAGGCTCTGAGATCTGGTTGGTGCTGTGCACAAAGGCTTTCCTCAGGAGCTTTGCAGGGTACACCCCTGTTTTTCAGTCCCAGGACAGCATGTGCTGTTCACAGCAGCAGAACACCGCTGGTTCACTGTCAGCTGATGAGCACTGTAACACCCAAACTCTCTCCTGCAAAGCTCCCATAGGCTGCTCCATCACATGTGCCAATTCTCCCCAAGCCAAGGTCCTACCCTTCCTCCTGCAATTACTGCTCATCACCCCCTGTCCTAATGTACTCCCAGAATATATTAAGATCTGCTATATGCGACCCTTCAAGTGTAACAGGAGCAGGGGCACCTGGACACAAAACAACAGCTGGTGTTCCCTGGGTCAAACCGTGCAGCAAGTCACTTAAGGAGCTCCAGGAACTTACCGACACCACCAAAGGGTAAAGTTGAGAGGAAGAAATGCATGATAACATCATTTCCAGTAAACCCCCCACTGGAGGTTTCCGAGATGACTCTTTTGATTAACTGGCAAAAGAAAACAAACAAACAAAACATTACAAAGGCCCAGAAGAGAACAGCCATGTAACTGAGCAGGACTGGGAGAGGAGCTACAAGCCAGCAGCCCATCGTGTTCACTTCCTCTGGCTGACAACTCAGACAAGCCCTCTCCATGCAGCATTAACTCAAGAGAAGCGGGAAAATTCAGAGGAGGGATGGGAAAGATGGAAACCTGGGAGTTCGCCTCCCTAGCATTACATTAAAGGTATCTAATAATTAAAAACTACATAGCATCAAAAAGGAAATTCAGCTTTTTATCCTTCTATTTCACAAAGTCATGCAGATGCAAAGCACTTCAGTAGGAGAGAGGGAGCCTCCAGCAGCTCTGGGGACACTCACAGACCCTGAGAGCCAAATGCTGTGATGCACATGCAAAGAGGAGCTGCCACAGACCCTGTGGGGAGCTGTGCCTGGGACCAGCCACGTCCAGGGTCGAACTGTGCAGATGCCTCTGCGGGGGAGGGAGCACATCCCACACCCACCTTCTTGTTGTTGGAGAAGACATAGAGGGCGAGGGGCTTCTCCCGGCGGTTGATGAACTCAATGGCTTCATCTACACTCTTCACAGTCACAATGGGGAGGACCGGTCCAAAGATTTCCTCCTCCATCACCTTTGACTCTGCAGAAACGTCGGTGAGGATCGTCGGGGCTGAGGCAAAGGGGAGAGCAGAAGGCAGTGTGAGCAGGACAGAAGATGTGGTCCACTGAGGATTCCATCCCTGGCAGCATCGGTGTGCAACACACACCAAGCAAGCGACAGACACACAGAGCACACAGATGGCACCTGCTACCACCCCCCACCCCAAAAGCTGCCAGAACCACCTATGAAGCAGGAGGCCTCATCAGACTCTCCCCCGTGAGCGATCTTCTGCCCTTCCAACAGGCCCAGGATCCTCTTGAAGTGATGCTTGTTGATGATCCTTTCGTAGTCTGGAGATGACTTCACGTCTTCCCCGTAGAATTCCTGCCAAAGGCCACAGCAGAACCAAAGCACTCAGCAGATTGTCACAACAGCCACAGCTCCAGGAGCTCAGACCTGGGCTGGAACGGGGACGAGTCCCACAGGACGAGGAACCCCGCACTCACCTGCAGAGTCGCCTTGATGTTCTCCACCACCTTGCTCTGGATGGACGGGTCACACAGGATGTAGTCTGGGGCGATGCATGTTTGCCCACAGTTCATGTACTTCCCCCATGTTATCCGCCTGCAGGGGAAAGGGAGAGAGTTTCTCCACGGTCAGGCCCTTCCAGACCCCACAGCCCACCCAACAGCACCCGAGTGACACCAGCCCAGAGCTGTCCACCTGCCCACGGGGTCCCTGCCCCACTGCTGAGACCCCACCAAGGCCTCCAACAGCCTGACCTGCAGGCAACAGCCAGGTCACAGTCCGTGTCGATGTAGCAGGGGCTCTTCCCACCCAGCTCCAGGGTGACGGGTGTCAGGTGCTTGGCAGCTGCTGCCATCACGATTTTGCCCACCGTGGAGTTGCCGGTGTAGAGGATGTGATCAAATCGCTGGGTCAGCAGTGCTGTTGTCTCAGGTACTCCTCCAGTGACCACGGGGTACAGCTCCTGCAGGGCCAACAGGATTTAAGGCACATATATCAAAGCAGTAGCTTTGCATGGGACAGACTCACTTGTGAGCTACGTTAGGAACAGGACTAAAGAGAGCAATAACAGAGACAAGCTCTGCTCCTTCCCTTGAAATTAAGTTTCACTTGCAACTGTGTTCCACGTGAACTAAAAGAAATGAAGGTTGAAGCCAGGGTTGAGCCAGCTGGCCAACATTAAGAACTAGGGCACATAAAACCACCAAGCTCTCCTGAGGGCCATATCCTTCCTCAGCTCTTGCCTCCCACCTAGAGAAAGTGTAACTACTGTGGGGCAAGGGTATTGGGGTCACCCCAAGCCAACACATCGGAGAAACCCAGGAACCAGCACGGGGCCACGCTCACCCGGTCAAGGTACTGGGGGAGGAGATCAGCCACCAGCCGAGCCGTGTTCTCACTGATCTCCGACGGCTTCACCACCACAGCATTGCCTACAAGACAAATGCAGCGCAGCCAGTGAGCCCTCGCCCTCCTCTCCTGTCCCCCACAGTGCCCATCCACAGCCCCACGAAGGACAGGGGCTGTGGCGGGTCCCCACCTGCTGCGATGGCCCCCACCAAAGGCTGCATCACCAGGACGAAGGGGTAGTTCCAGGCCCCGATGATCAGTACCACCCCCAGCGGCTCGGGGCAGATGTAAGCCTCGTCCCGCATCGTCAGCAGGTTCTTCTTCACAGGCTGAGGGGCTGCCCAGGATGGCAGCTTGTCCATGGCCAGGGCCAGCTCCCCCAGCACACCCAGGATCTCATGGCTGTACGCATTGTGCCCACACTGCAACGACAGGGAGTTTGGGGTGGCTTGGTGGCCCAGCCAAGGCCTCCACCACGGCAGCCCCATGAAACGAGGTAAATTCTGCTGGTTCAAAGTGCTTGATACCGGTGGCGCTGCCCCCAAGAATCCCTAATGGATGACAATCAGTCTGGGCGTGTGCAGCTCTGTATGAAGCCAAAACCTGACAGCCAGGCCATGCCTTCACAGTCCTGCCTCAGCCTATCTCCTTATTTAAAATGGTGGCAGCAGACCTTGGCAGGCCACAGCGAGAGCCAGGACCATGGGGGACATCAGCAAAAGCCACCTGGCACAGCAAAGCAGCCCTCGGCCTCCCCACTTTCCCCTCCAGGCTGACCACTGTCTGTGTGTGGCTGACAGGAGAAAACCCCCGACCCACACCTTGTGCAGATCTGCCTTGATGGCTGCCAGGATCTCCTTCTCCTTCTCCTGCACCATCCGCTCCAGGGCCTTCAGCTGCTGCATCCTGAACTCCAGAGAGCGGCACCGGCCTGAGTTGAAGGCAGCTCTTGCCCGCCCAACGACCTGCTGCATCCTCTCCATGGCTGCTCAGCACTGCAGGGAGAGAGCAGCGAGACCCAGCTCACTGCGGGGCCTCCCTCCTGATAGAAAATGAGTTTTCTCACAGGCACTGGACACACTCGCACCCCCCTAGCTCGAGAGTGGATAGCTGACGGTTCAGCCTTAACTCTGAAGCTTTAAACAATTTGCGGCTCGTAATTTAGAAAAGTTTGAAAAGGAGCGCAGGGAGCACCCCTGTGTAGGCCAGCAAGGGCGTCACCAGGGGACCGAGGGCAGGTCCTGGCGGTGAGGGGAGGCGGCCCT